TCAGCGGTTTTTTATTATATATCGTTAAATTTATATAAAAACTTATTTATTTTACATATTTTTTAATTTAATGTAATTTGAATTAAATTTAACGATCAAACCTACCATTAAAAACGTCTTACCGGAGAAAATTTCTATTTTCCTATACTCTCTTTTATCTTATCTTATTTTTATATTATTTTAGTTCTTTTTTTTTTCCTTTTTTATTGTCTGTCTCAGCAAGGAGAACAAGTGATTGTACCAGTCCACGTGCGTAGACCCCTATGTGCTGTTCCACAGAAGCAGAGCAGGCCCAACGGTTCATGGTCCTTTCGGACACCGTACCATAAAAGCCTGTCATTATTATATGTATTGACAACGATACAAATCTGCAGCCGAGACTTTTTCATCCACCAACAAATAAAAATCTATTGCGAAAACCAATCTCTCTTTTTTTTTTTTTTTTTTCTGATTAACCTTGATTACTCATACAAATCCCAAGTCATTGTGGATATATATGTAACTAAAAATAACGACTTTTAAATCCTTTAAGATTGGCCATGGTCTCAAATTAGATGATGGGAAACAAATTCAGAACCGTTAGAAATTTTTTTTCTTGTTGGGTCTTATCTTAAAAAACATCAGCGATATCAATTATGGTCCCGTTTACTTCACCGATTTGAATTTAGAATTCAAGTTTTATTACAGTAAAAAGCTCTCAGAAACAGTCACATCTAACTTTTTTACTACAGTAAAAAGCTTTCACATAAAATTATATCTCAATTCAAATTAAAAACTCGAATCAGTAAACTAAACGGGCTCTATAATAATTGCTTATACTGTGCGACAAAAGGGGGGAAAAAAAAAGTGTCACTATCCAGAGTAATAGAAAAAGAGAGTGATTCCAAACCATTTCACGTGCATTAATCTCCAAATATAATGCGCAGGATATGTGGGATACTGGCGATTACACTTTATCCACACCTAATAAGTAATGTACATGGTTGATGTGACACTTTAGTTGTTTGATAATTTGCCAAGGAAAGAGACCAGAGAGTAGGGACCGACCCATTTTTTTTTTCCTTTCTTTATTTTATAGAACTCTTTTTTTTTTTTTTTTGTTTGTTCTTTTTAAAAACACCATGTGATTGTTCTTTTAGAGTGTAATTTTTTAGTTGAATTTGAGTTATAACTTGAGTTGAAGTTGTAATTTAAATAAAGTTAAGTAAAGTTGAATAAAGTTGAAACTTAAAAGAACGTGAACTTAAATAAAATTAGAACTCGAGTTATCTTTTTTTGAGTTTTTTAGACAAAAGAACATGCCTCATGTTTCTTATTTTTAACCGTTAAATTTATATCAAAATTTATTTATTTTGGACATTTTTTTTAATTTAGTGTATTTTTAATTAAATTTAATGACTGTAAAAATAAAAAATACTAATATTTAAAAAAAACACCGGAGAAACTCTTTTATTTTATTTTATAGATAAGTTCTTAAAAAGGCAAAACAAGTCATATCATTGTATCCATGGTCTTTTGGTTGGGGAAAATTATGTCCAAAGCCTCTCTCACTCTTGTTTGACTGACCTGAATCCTGGGCTATAAAAGTAGACCCTTTTCTTTACTTACTTACACTGCAATCTTTTATTGCACCAACCAGTTTTATTCACCACTGAAACCCACCAGCAAAACAATCCCCACCAAAGATATCACTCCATTTAGTGTTGACATAAATAACTGTTTCATAACTCCAATTCAAAACCCAAAACTGTTTCTTCTGCAATTGCCACACGTCACTCACTAAAAACTAGTAAAAATGAACAAAATTACCTTAAAAATATATGTATCACATTCTATTAATTTTATATACTTTTTCATTTTGATGATAAAAAACAACGCTTTTATTAGTTGAGACCCACTGTGAAGATTATTACTGAAATAGATGTATAAGGTGTTCACCCCACTAACTCAAATTTATTGATTTGAGTTAAGAAAGTGAATTTGAGTTGTAAAAAATTTGAGTTTAGTTTAGATTTTGAGTTAAATATTTAGGAGGAGATTGATTTGATATTTAAAACTTGAGTTTTGTGTTCACTTGTACTAAAGCCAAACATCAATTACAAAGAAGTGTCATTTTCTGCAGAGGCAATTCGCACTGTAGAACCAAACTTGAGTAATAAGAAAATAAAGGGTTGGTGAAACTCACTAACTCGAGTTATTATTCGAGTTGCGTTTAGTGAATGTATAACTCAGTCTAATTTCACACTCAAATTGAGCTTATTTGAGTCTGATTTACGAAGTGAACAGCCCCTAAAAATATATATTTCCTTTTATTTATTATTTATTTATTACCTACAACTCGATGGCAGAAACCACGTTAACAATTTGAAACCTTTTTTGGTGTGTTAATAAATTAATAGATCAAATTTTTTGTCTATTAAACTTATATAAAATCACATAAAAATTAAAAAATATACATATTTAACCATTAAAAAAACTTTGAGAAAAATCTCCCTTAACAATTTTAAGGCAGCAATATCCAGTCTTCAGTTGACCAGACCATAATCAGAGTTCAGACAATCGGAGGGCTGAAAAAAATAAACGATATAAGAACCCGGTGGTTAATACCATCGGGTTCTGGGATTTGGGTCCTGCCTAATGTACTGGAATTTTGCTTTAAAAACCCCCAATCTCGATTGGTCATTTCAAAGAATAATAACCAAAAAAATGATTATTTTTTTTCCTGGGGGTGTGTGTCAGATAGTTTGAATAAGCATGGCGTCAGGTCTGCGACATGTCAGATTGGTCATTAGGGGCTAACTGATTCATCTAACGTAACGTAACCTAAAAGGGTTTTGTCACCTTATTGGCTATTTCTTTATATGGACAAACTTGATAGGGCTTTGAAATTCTATATTTGAGGTACACCTCATGAACCGGCTAAGATGAGTTTATTGATTCACTGGTTTCTTTTGTCTTTTGAACTTATTGCCTTTTTTTATTTATTATTATAAGAATCTTTGAGATGATTACTATCAAATTCATTCTCACTGAGAATCGTGCATTCCAATACGGTTGTATGAAAGCAACAACTGATTTAACACATTTTACTTCTGGTATAACCTGGCCTTAATTACATATCAAATGCATAAACCAAGAATGCCATGTAAAATGTTTAGTAAGGAAATTCTTTTAAGGCCCGTTTAGTTAATTGATTTGAGTTGAGATGTAAATTTATGTGAGAATTTTTTACTATAACAAAAAAGTTATATGTGATTGTTTCTAATAACTTTTTACTGTAGCAAAACTCAAATTCTAAACTCGAATTAAAAACTCAAAGCTCTCGTATAAAGTCACATCTCAACTCGAATTAAAAACTCAAAGTAGCGAACTAAACATGCCCTAGTATAATAAAAAAAAAATACCCTACTCTTATTTTACCGTTAGATTATATCAGGATAATATCGTATTAACAAGAGTACGTATGAAGAACGTGATAAGAATCTAACGGTTAAAATTTTTTTCATACTTTACAAAAGAAATCTCTAAGAAATTATCTATTCTACTCACTCAAAACAGAAATTTAACTCCTTTTGAGACTAATAATAGTGTAATCTTTAATCACGTGATTATGCCATGTTCGTGGTTATCAAAGAGAAGAGAAGCAAAAATGATGGGCAAGTGAAGTTCCCCAACTTGTGAAATGGAAAGTGACATTAAGGGGCAGGGATTTTTGTTGTGTTGTTATTTCAGTTTTGTGTGTGGATGAGAATTTGTAGACAGGTTTCAGTTGGTACCTAACCTAAACAGGGCTTGGCCCATTTTATGCCAGGCCTGGACCCATATAACAACAACACCACAGACACAGTGGAGGACTAGCTCAGTACTGGTGAGCTATGCAAATTTTTTCCCACATCCCTATTCTAATATATATATATATATATATATAGATATATGAGATTCAAGAAAATTATAGACTTTGGGGACAATTGCAAGATTCGTTTTTGAGAGGGAAGAAAACAGAAAAGAACATGTTTATGGATGTCGAGCCACAGGTCACAGAAATATTCCAGAACAAGAAGACACTCTCGGCACAGAGGTTTTATTGTTTGGTTGATTGTTTTGTCCACACAAAAGCATAAAAGGCCAAAGCAAAGCCACATTGAGGTTGATATTGTAACAACTGTATGCCGACATATGAGGTGATTATCAAACGCAGAGCTTTTGAGTTTTGAGGCCCCCCCAGCGCTGTTGCTTAAATACACACACACTATGCTCGACGCTTTCATTGAATCTCAAAACTCAGTTGTAATGTCAGGCTTTGGGTGACAGCACTCCCATCCTCATTGTACTGCTAAATGAATAACTAGAAACGTATTTGTTATTCACAATTTAGATTAATATTAAACAATCCAACTAACACGTTCTCTTCCGGTCAACAATTACCTGCATAGGTCACCTAACGAGGCCTATTTATGGACCATGGCATTACCTTCTCTAAAGGCCTTGCAGTCGATCTGCTTGTGGGTTATATATGTTCTGTGCTTCTGTGTTTATTAAAAGAAAAAAAATGTTAAACAATGCAAAATGATAAGCTTCTTGATAGACCAGCTTGAAGGAGTTGAAAGAAAGTTGGAAATTAGTTATATGGGAAAGAGAAGTAGGGTGGGACCATCCTTATAATTTAAAGGCTGTCCAATAGCAGAGTCAAGGGTATGTTTCCAATTTTTATGACACAATCTTTAGTATGGCTTTAAATGAAATTAGAATTGAAATTGCAGCTGTCGGTTAATGCAGTATGTAAGTGTACAAGGGAACCAGTCAACAAGTTAGAAAGAGAGAGTCTTAAGCTCTTCGTTAAAAAAAAAAAAGAAAAAAAAGAAAAAAGAAGGCCAGAGTTTGTAAGTCAATTGTACTTGAGGAAGAAACTTGCTTGCAACAAGTAGAAAAAAGAAAATTGCTTTTAACTTTACAATTTACATCCCATTCTTTATTTTCACTCAGGCTGAGACCCCCAAAAGATGAATATTCAAAACTAAAGAAAGCAAAACCAAGCTCGTGATCTTAAAAGAAATTCCCCCTCAAGTCCCTCTCTATTGACCTTCATTTTCATTCTTTCATTCCTTTTTTTTTTCCCCCTTTTTTAATGTGAAGACAGTGGAAGGAATTCACATTATAACCCACAAATTTCACAGTTCAGCAACTCCTAGAGTCTTGTCCAAAACAAAAGGCCCAAGTTTGAGTTGGAATCCTATTGAGTATCAACTTCTGGTTCTGGACTAGTTTGTGGAAGGTATACTGTGAGAAAAAAGAGGCCTTTACCCAAAACAAGCCCAACTCAGACTCTTTTTCCCAGTTTAACGAGCCTACCCAGCAGCTCAACCTGGAATAACACGGCCGTACAAATTGCCCATTCCCATATGTCCAAGCAAAAAGGATGCTTACGTGCAATGTAATTATTTTTCCTTTCATTCTGCATCTCTAAGATGCCTTTATAGCACGCCTAAGACCATTTGGCCTTTTGGCGTCGGGAGTTTGGATGAGGTGGAGGTAGGCGGTAGGGCTGCGGGTTCAATCCAATCTTATATTAAAAAAAAAAAAAAAAAAGGCTTTTACAACACTGACTTAAGCCCTGCAACAATACCCCAGCGGTAGAACTTAAGTTTGGAATCATATCCAAGTGAGGCCAGAGAAACCCAAACCACAACAATCCTAAATATCTATGAGAGCCTGCAATAAAATTAGAGGAAATTAGAATGGATTTTATCAAGACCGACTCTTGAATGACTCAGCACAGTGGTAATGGCGATAGAGATTCCACAAGCAAGGTTAAATAGCAACTTGAAGATAAATGTACTATAGCATAAATTCAACCCAGCATAAGAATTGTACACAAAATCATCCAACCACCATTTGGAATCAGAACTCATCACTAAACTATTACCAAGAATGTATTCTATTCCAGCAATGCCAACGTATGAAAAGAGCATAATCATAGTTACGGAAATGAAGCATTTTGTTAGGAATACATCTCTATGGTCCTGGAAGAGAATCATACTTTCACGTAACATACAAAGGCGAGAAAGATTGTAACATCAAGTGATTTTAGTTACTCCAAACTATGATATAACGTTAATGTTAGGCTGAATAACATAACTATATGTTACGTGGAAGTGTATAGTTATGGTTTTCCATTCGAGCCACTTATATCATGCCTTAAGAGTTTATACATTATGCCATTGTAAACTAAAGATTCAAAGCTTGCCTATATCAAATTCAGCTCATGCTGCTATATACATACAAATACATCCTTTCAGGCAATAAATAGTATCTCTAATTAATGACATCTCATTTACAGGAAAATAAAAAAATAAAAAAAAATAAAGCTCAAGCTTTTTAGCAGTTGAAAAAACACTAATCATATTCTAATTCCAATACCCAAAAAGACAAATCTTTGCATCTATGATCTATTACTTCAAATTTACAGCAATCAAAGACATGAATTGAGCAAACCTTACAACAACAAACAAACTATCTGTCTTCCACCATTCTCAATCGCGTCTCAAGCAAACGAGCATTGAACTCTCCATCACTGATCTTCAACATTCTCGACAATGGAACCGATAATCCATGCTCAACCAAAAGCCTATGCCTGGGCTTAATTTTCCTCTCCAAGCTAAACGAAAAGTACTGCGGAAACCTCTTCAACTCCGCAACTTCCCCTTTCATTTCCGTCAAAAAGTAGTCAACTTTCGGCACGAGATTGTTCTCCACGCTGAGCGTCAGCAGCCCCGGCGATCTCAGCACCATCGTCACAACTTCCTCGTAAGACAGCCCTAGGCTCTGCTGCAAATACTCCATCTTCGGCAAGAGTGTGCCTTCGACGTTGGAAACCAAGAGCAGAGCCGTGTGGCAGGTGATCGAGTTGCGACCGACGAACCCTAGATTCGTCAAGAAATCGAAGGTTCGCCGCAATTGGGCGTCGACGCTGCAGACGAGGAGCCTAGGGCACCGGATTATGGATTTCCGGATGTCGGGGAAGGGGATTCCAACCTCGTTGAGGAGGAAATCGAAGACCGGGTAGAGATCGAGGTCGGGATCGGAGGTGAGGAGCTTCGGGTGCATGTCGAGGATGCGGCCGATGGCGGAGCGTTCGATGCCCATGGAGGAGAGGCAAAGCTCGACGGACTTGACGGTGGAGAGAGGGGCGGAGCGGAAATGGGGGTTTAGAGTTAGGGCTTTGTGGGAATCGACGTTGAGGTGGTTCTCGAGGTAGAGGATTTTTTCCCGGAAAAGGAGGCCGGAGTCGGAGGTGGGGGTGTTTGGATGCTCCGAAAGTTGGGGCTTTCTGGCGATGGCGTTAGGGGCTTTTTTGGTGGGGAGTTTTGGGGAAGGTAAAAGGGAAGCTTGAGGGAAAAGAAGGGATTGGGATGGTCGGAGAATCATGGTGTTGGTGGTGGTGGTGGCGTGGATTCTGGTTATGGCGGGAGAGCTTGGCCATGGCTTCATCGTCTCCATTGATACTTCTGTCACTCTCGACAGTGTGAAAAAAGGAGAGTTCTTTATCTCTTCTCATCAGTTGGGAAAACGACAATCGAAAAACAAACGACAACATTGGAAGGCCAACGACAGTGTTTTTTTTTTTTTAAACGACTACAGGAATTGAAATCCAGAGTGGGGCATATTTATTTTACCGATTCGAATTTTATTATAGTAAAAATCTTTAAAAAATAGTCACATTTAATTTTTTTTATACAATAAAAAACTCTTATATAAAATCACATCTTAATTCAAAATAAAAATTCGAATCAACAAATTAAACATGACTGTAATGAGAATCTAAAAGCAATAACGACAATAAAGGGACAAATCGACAAGAAAACGAACAACGAAGATAAGAGCAAACGACAATAGAAGGACAGACGAGAACTGTAAATTTGCTCCATATAATCATTACAAGCCCTCCCTCAACCAAAGTAAATTCTATTTGATTCTCGTCGGTGAACTCGTAGGGGAGCTAACTTCACCAACCTCAACTATAGATTGATAGTATGGGCCCATTCACGAAAGCCATGAATCTGATCAATCAGTTCAATATTTACCTAATTTGTCGAGTTAGATTAGATTGAGAGGGATTTTATACTGGTAACAGATTAAAAAAATAATTTAATCCAAAAGTTTTGAATTGGTTCGTCGATTGAGCATTCTCAATTCATAAAATTTGTGAATCTGAATTATATATATTGTTTTGGTAAAGTTTAGATTATTTTCACTAATACCTTGTTTCAAAACACTTTAAACTTTACAAAACAAGTCAAAACATTCCCAATCTATAAAAAACAAGTTAAATAAGTGTAACACCCGATATTTAATTAAGCCTTAAGCCAATAATAAATAAATTTAGTAAATTAAAATCATGCATCACATTTACTATTTACCTCAAAGTTATTTGTTAGCATTATATTTTATTACTATAGCTATCATATTATTTTATTAAACTTATAGCTTTGCTAATCGAGTTTTTAGTTTTAATGTGCAGTGTAACTAACTCGATGTGATAACTCAATGTGCTAAATTTATGGAGAAAAATGATATTTATTATGATTATTAGATATGATATTTTACCTCTATTATTATTTATTGAATGATGAATCATTATTTTATATTTTTATTATATGATTTTATGTAAATGTGTTGAGGACTTAGTTATTATTTTGAGTTTTTGGTGAGAGAAGTCTATGTTAGCAAATTGAGTGAACTTAAGGCACCTAATTGAAGAAGAAAAATAGAGACTCTAGAGTTGATTTTATGAGGTTAGGATAGCTATTAGAGGCTTAGAAAAACCTAAGCACTTATTCTATTATAAGGCCACTTTATTTTTATTTAGTTTCTATCAAGTTTAGACTTCATTTTTTGGTCTATTTTAACAAGAAACTCTAGAACTCTGACCATAGCACTTTCTTCTCTCTTCTCACTCCTTTTTTCACCCAAAACTCAGACTCAAACCTAGGGTTTTAAGAGAGAATGAGCTAAAGACTCAACCAGCCCATCTCAACTCGTTTTCAACCTAGAACCAAAAATAACCACCAAGTTTTGAGCTTCTATTCACTTGGGAACACGTTTTTTTTTTAGGTAACTTATTTCTTAGGTTAGAAACTAAGACTTCAGAGATTAAGATGTTGAAATCCTACTTGAGATTCGGATTTTTGATGGGGCTTATTATGCATGTTGGTTGTAGACTCTTAAAAATGAGTTTCTTGAGGTTTTGGTTCAAATATTGGTTTCTGGGTGAAATTGATTATTTTAGCTTGATATTATTGATGATTATTTGAAGATAAACTCTTATTAAGATGATGATTCATGTATATGAGAGTGGTCTTTGAAGATTAAGATTTGCATGCTAGGTATTTGATGAAATGTTCAAATATAAGTCTTCTGTACAGTCTATATAGATTCTGTTTTCGTGCTATATATACTTATGATTTTGACTGATCTTATATTTTTTTATTAAAGTATACATCTCAAGCTTTATGTGAGTTTTTGAATCACTCCATGCAGATTTTTCTACATTTAGTGATGAATTTTATAAGTTCAGTTAAAAAGCTTTCATTTTCCTGACGAGATTGTACTTCAATCTGGATTTCGGGCTGTTTTTGGTTAGTTTGAAAAATCCAAAACCCATCATGCAGTAGCTCTAAAAAAAGGGTTTTGAGTCTACTTTTATTTGCCACTGGTCTCATAATATTTTGAGTTTTGATGAATTTGTTATGCATATTTTCGTAACAATGCGTAGTTATTTGTTTCGTTAAATGATGATATGAATGTGATTTTTGAAAGCTGTAGTTTTAAAGGTTAATTAGCACATTAAAGGCGCCCCACAACCAGCTAGTTTGTGCTTGCAAAGTGGTGATCGAAATTCAGGTAAGTAGAGTTAAAGCATTTTCAAAACTGCATCACAAAACCTATTTGACATAACTTGTTCAGAATTGTGATTATGCAAGTTTATTCTCTTATGAAATTCTTATATGATTATGTTAAAAGAGTATTCATGATTAATTATTTTGAAAGAGATTATGATTTATGCTTATTATGTTTTTATGTTTTATGAGATTTTATGGTATGGTAAATGGATGAGAGGTTGGGTAAGCAGGGGTGTGAGGGACCGGTACCCCAAATTAGAGAAACTGTCTCTTTGAGACAACTAGAGAAAAATGTTAGTGGGAAGTCTCTTGTTGATCACAAGAGAAAGAGATTCTAAAAACCCCGCTTAGTGTTTAAGAGAAAAGAATTTACCAAAATTAGAGAAGGTCTTGTATAGAGAGGCTTACTTGGAACCAAAGTTTTGTATCATACCTAAACTAAGAATAAGTATGAAAGTTTATGAACAATGTTTAACAAAGAGATTTTAGCCACGGAGATTTTAGATATTTACTTTATTTGAAATCTACTTACTAAGTTTTTGCTCATTAGTTTTACCTTATGATGCAGATGATGTTGTTGTTACTGAAGAGTAAAAAAAAAAAAAAAATGATTTCCAAGGTTGGCTGAGTACTCCAAGTCCTACATATGACATCTTGCTTATATGTACTTCCAAACAATAGATGGGCTCAAAATGTTTTTTTTTTTTTTTTTTTATCGCTTTTGAATAACTGTTTAATGTCTAAGATTTGTGGTTGTAATCATTTTACACACTGACTCATTTTGTTCAAAAACTTTTAAGAAAATTTTGTGATGAAATAAACCATAAGTTTTCGCATCTTTTTAAGTATAAAAAGTATGTTTTAAGTAGCACCACCTCGCTAAATTCGGCCTTAGACCGGTTTAGTGGTGGAGGCGTTACAATAAGCCTCTCAGTTTAGTTCTGTGTATCAAATGAACGGAAAATACATACGTGATATTAAAAAATTAACTAATAGAGGGCATTTAAATAAAATTGTGTAAGTTTAAGTAACAAAGTTTAAGTAACAAAGGGATAGCCCTTCATTTTCCAAAAAAAAAAAAAAAAAACCCACAAAAACAAAATTCCTCAAATATAATATCTAGGGTTCCTCCTCTTTTCCTTAAATTTCCCTGCTGATCCGAACTTGAAAGTTGCTTGTTTGGATTTTTGTTTTATTTCACGAATAATGGCAAGCTCCTCTAATTTGGATCTTTTTGGAGTTCCCAACTATGGTAAGTCTTAATAATTAATGTCTACAACGTTTTATTTTTTTTTATACTAAATTTGGTTTGTGTTTGTTTTGGTAAAATGATGAAATCGTTATTGTTGATTATGCTTGTGAATATTCCGTTAACATGGTGTGAGAAAAGCTTTCTTGTTTTCATTGAAAAGCTTTGGTGCTTTTCATATATGTGAATGTATATGGTCCTGTTGCCTTCAATTGAAGCTTCTACGTACAGAGGAGTTGGCTCTTCTTCTTCTTTTCTCTTTTTTTTTTTTTTTTGGTTAAAGAGATGGAGTTAGGGTTTTTAATGATTTGGAGGGAAAGGGTATTAGGGATTGTAAAAAAGACAAGAACTACCACGTTACTTATGCATTTTCTATCCATTTGATACACAAAACTGGACGGAGGGGATAATTTGACATGTTTTTTTATAGATCACGGGGAATTTTAACCTGTTTTGCAAAGTCAGGGAACATTTTGAAACAATATACATAGTTCGGAGGCATTTTTGAAAATAATCGTAAAGTTTTTTATATTTTATTGAAGCTAATTTGTCATAATTGATTGGGTTATAAGAAATCAGAATCTATTGAACTATTTTACATTATAATATGTTTATTTAAGTTGTGGACATTGAATTACTTTGAACTTTAAAGTAATGTTGATAAACGATGAAGATTTCATTTTGAATTTAATTGAAGTTAGTTTGTCATAATTGATTGAGTTATAACACTTCGAATTTTAAGTTTTATTGGGTTGTTTTAATTTCTAAATTCTAATAAGGAAAAAAAAGCATTTAATAGCTTATTAACTTTAAATGTCCAAAATCATGAACTTCGTTGAATCCAATCTTTGAAATTTAATAGTTTTGAATTGGATTGGACTGGGTAGAGTTTTGAATTGGCAATGGATTAAAATTTTCCTAATTCAAGAGTTTTTATTAGATTATGGATCACCCTAATCCGTAAATTCCAATATGTGAATAGCACTTATTGAAAGTAACATAAATTAGGCTTCGTTCGTTTCACTAGTTCGAATCACAACTCAAGTTTTTGTTACAGTGTTTTCTCTTAGAAAAATTCAAACTAAACTTTTTATGCTACAGTTTTTTTTTCCTAATATAAATTTATTTTTTAACTCAAATTTTTAACTTAAACGAACAAAACAACGATAGAACTCCATATCTACAAATAGTCACGGGGCAAGCACTTTTAACAAACAACCAAATACCTAGCTATTATAACGCAATCAAACCTAATGAAATAAAATGTTGTACTGAGGCATACCCATCTCTCCATTAGGAGGTTATTACTCTTTTATTTTTTGGTTCTATTTTTTAATTATTTTTTCAATTAAGAGAATAGAATCGTAAAATAATAGTAGAAATCCCCTTATCAAGGATATTAATTCATAACTATTCATAATTGTTTATGTCTTTAACATGACCACATGATGAAATGAGAAGGAACATGGGGTAAATGGCTGATACAACTCGCAGGATTTTTATTCAGATATGATCATCTTAAACATAAAGAAGGGATAAAAAAAAAAAGGGAATGAAACCATCAAGTTCCTATTTTAGTTATTACAACTCACTAAAAAGAAAAGGCATTTGAAATCCTGTTTTTGTTAACACCGAAGAGCAACTTCAATTAAAAAGAAAAATCTCAAAATATGATGAAAGATATCTTCAAGAAAAGTGGAGCATTCGTGTTAGTTTCGATATTTTCTTTTCCATATGAAGTTATTTTATTTTATTCTGTTTTAGATTCAAATTCCTAATTATGATTAAGGGAATTGTAGTAAAGCACTAGAAGCAATGTGGCATTGCATCAAATTGCAAAAAGGGCTAATGAAGTTGAAATAATCAGAAGATCGAAATTTGTAATCGAACTTCTCTTTCTTCTACCACTCATATTCTAAAGAACTTTCCTTTTTGCCTATTAATCCTTGATTTTTAGGCCTCGTTCACTTCGCAGATTTAAGTTTTCAATTCGAGTTGAGATGTGACATTTTTTAAAAATTTTTCACTGTAGCAAAAAAAGTTAAATGTGATATTTTCTGAGAATTTTTTACTGTAAAAACCTAAAATTAAAAACTCGAATCGGTGAAATGAACAAGACCTAAGTAATTGATAATCGCCATTTATTATAACTAAGAGAATTGTTGGAATATGATGCTAAAAAAAGGACGCGTCTTTCCCTCGGCACTTTAAAAGAATTGTTGGAATACTGCTCTAACAAACTTGTCCCGCATTGGAAGATAAAGGCGTCATTTAGCATATAGAGGTTTATAAGTATGTATTATGTCTATTGGAAAATTAAAGCAAGCATATATTTTAAGAATTGGCTATCAACTTAGATAGTTTTGCATATAATCACTTATAAATTTAAAAAGGTGTATGAGCACCTCTCAAATTTTTTGTTAAGAAGATATGGAAGCATTTTATGGAACCAAAGAATGTTCCATATTGATGTAACAAAAAAAATCAAAAATCTCCCAAGTTGATGTATCAGATATTTGATTCTTTTTTCATTAGGTATAGGTATTTTTTTTTTCTTTTTTCATTAGGTTTAGGGTTTTCTTTTTCATTTTGATTTAATGAGAGCTAAATTGTTTAACATGTCCTATCACTTTCTTACAATTTTGATGTTTTTGTCTAAAAATGTCTAAAATACTTATTGTTAAAATATGATTGTTGAATGCCAAGCCATTTTGAAATGAAATATATTTATTATAATTTTTGTTATAAATGTATGCAAAAAGATAATATAAGTTCAAGAATAAGAAAAAAAAAAAAAAGGTCGGAATCTAAATGACAAATGACTACAAATGTTAAAAGCATTAAATGACAATAAAGAAAATAGTAACAATATAAGCGCCACATAGTAGTAAATTGATTCTTCATATTAAAAAAGTTTTTACATGTAAGTCACGTTCTTTCTAAAAATAAAAACTTTATGGATTATTAAGGATTTTAGAATTAGAACAAACATCTCTATTTTTCGCATTTCTCCCACTTCTTCCTTATCTCAGTGATGGTTACAATCTGAACTTGTAATCCACCACCAAACCATCATTGCATATCTCCCTCTTGCGCATCGTTGGAGTCTCATGTGCTGTTTTTCATTAATTTTAAAGAGAATGAGTAAAATAACATATTTAATAAGATATTTAAGTTTTTTTTTTTTTTTTTTTACAACTCAAGTTTAATTTTTTTACTGTGGTATTTTCTTTCGTATAAAAAAATTTAAATCGTGACTTAAGTTGTGAAAAGAACAGATCCTTAATTAATTATAACATAATTTTTTTAAATAAATAAATTATAGCATAATTTAATATTTTCGGTTTTCAATACAATTGAATTATAAAAAATGTTTTTAAAAATGTCGAAATACCGTTTTAATATAATCAAAAACAGAAAGTATCAGAAATGTGTTTCAACAAAACATATAAAAAATATGCTATCAATTATGGTTTGGAAAAATGTTATTTGGTGCATTTTCTATTTAATTCTTAAGACGATAACTATTTTGGTTTATTTTTTTATTATTTAAGTTAGTGACGGTCTCACCATGATCACCACAAGTAATACGATAGCAACAAAATACTTTAGATAACGTGCTAGATTACCTTCAGTATCACTGCAGGCGAGTCAATAACACGGTAGGCTACTGCCACCGGTAAACTTGGAATATGATTGTCATTACTGGTTTTTTTTTCTTTTTCTTTTTTTTTAAATGTTTATTTTTCGTGAACTTATCTGGTAGGATAAAAAAAAAATACCGGCGGTTTTTTATTTTTTTAAATCCTTAAATTTATATAAAAAATTATTTATTTTACATTAATGTGATTTTAATTAAATTCAAAGTTATAAACTAATATTATAGATGGCATTGTCTTAGAGAAATTCTCTTATTTTTCACGGCAAACATTCAATCCATATGATTTATTCGCACTTGCTAGTTTATTAAAATGGCCATTTCATCCTGATTAATTGAAAATAATGTGTATTTAGAACTGTTTTAAAAACGACTTTTACGTATTTTGAGAAATAAAAAATGAAAAATAAAAATAAAACGACGTTTGTTTAGTAAATATTTTAAAAACGAAAACAGTGAAAATGATTTTTGTAAAGAAATTAAAAATAATTAAAAAATATTTTCATTTTTCTGTTTTCATTTTTTAATAATTATCAATAATATTATAATATATTAATTAATAAACACGATTTTATTTTTTTATTATATTCAAAATAATCTCTTAAAAAACTAATTAAACGTAATTTTAAAATCGATTCTAAAATAATTTTTAAAATAATTTCATTTTTACTTCTTATTAAAAATACAATTATTTTAAGACTAATTTTAAACGCCCTCAATAAGTATTTAACTACAGCATATAAAATGACTATCGCACCTGCTGGTCCGATTTAGAAAGACGTTAAATCAGTGGGACAAACCCAGAGAAATTAAAGAACAATTTGGCGCCCAAAAAATGACCGAATTAACATTTTAAGGGGTTGAAAAAGTTAGAAATTAGAAAATTTTTTTTTTTTATAAAAAATACTTAGAAACAGAACGTGTTTTTCCCCCTCAGAAAAAAATGTTTTTATTTTTATTTTTTCTGAAAGAAATAAAGATGAGTTGGTTTTGTTGGTTTTGGGATTTCCGAGGATTCCGATTCTTGCGCCTTAGGTATGATGACCGATTTTGGCGACAACCCGGTCGTGTAATGTTAAGCTATATGTAAGCTCTCTCTCTCACACACGCCTTTCTCTCACCTCTATTCTCTCTCTCTCTCTCCCTCCCTCTGCCTTTTGAATCTCCGTACCCTTATTGACTTCACAACCTTTTTGACGCTTTGATTCGATTACGGAGTTCAAAACGTGTTTGTTGTTCCTGATTTTTTCCTCTCTTGGTACGTACGTTTTCCCTTCTCTCTCTCTCTCTCCTAAGTGGGTTCATACATAGTTACATACATATCTATTTTCTATTTCTATGTGTTATCCAATTCCAATTTCTGTACTTTTTTGGTTGCCAATACTCTTCAAGGCTCAAGGCGATTCTGATTCTTAAAAGGTGTCTCCTGCTGTTGTATTTCTCACATGGGTTTTGTTTATTTTTGTTGTTTAGTCGTCGGTTCTTATTGAATTTGAGATCTTTTGATACATTTGCATTTTACAATATTAAAGGTGTTTAATTGTTTTATAGAAAAAGAAAATGATTGGCTTTGCAAACTGGGCATTGTTTGGTGCATTTGTTGCCTCCTATAGGTGAGTTTCTCATATGGGTTTTGCTTTTCTTTTTGGAACTCGGATTCTTTTAGCAAAAGAGGTGATCTTGATTCACTTTTTTTTATGTTTAGAATTAGGAAAATGGTGAATTGTGATTTGTTTTCTTGTTTAAATTTGTTGCCTCCTATAGGTGAGTTTCTCATATGTGGAAATGTGGTTCAATCGGGACACGAACATCCATAAATGCTAATGTGTTCTAAAAATCTTGCTGAATTGTTTCAGAGTTTTGGGATTTGGTAACTGGATTTTTTATGGGATTTTTTATTTTATTTTTTCAATAGGCCTCGAATAATTTAAGACTGCAAAAGAGAAGTGTGGTGTAAGGTGCAGGATGGGAAGGGTAAAACTAAAAATAAAGAAATTGGAGAACACAAATGGGCGTCAAGCGACATATGCCAAGAGGAAGCATGGCATCATGAAAAAAGCTAACGAGTTATCTATACTCTGTGATATAGATATTATCCTTCTCATGTTCTCACCAACTGGCAAGCCTTCTTTGTGCAGCGGAAAGCGCAGGTTTGTTTGTTGTTTCACTTTTGTTTTTATCTTAGTAATCGTTTTTAGAAGTCTTACCAACTGATGTAAAGCATAAAACATAGGATTTCTATTGTGGCTACAAGAAAAGAGAGACAAAACATGTATGGATTCTTGGCGTGATGTTTTCTGCCATTAATAGTGGGAAACTGAAACCTTTCGAATTCGCTAAGGTTCGGTTTGGACTAAACAAATGTGATGCTTGTACTGAAATGGACACATGTGTACAAAAGCGTGGATGAGGTCTAATTGTATTACCTTCTGTGCTTGTAATATGCTTACCCTCATGCCTTAGGAATTTTCCTTGAGTCAGGAAGTCTTCATCTCTTTCTGGCAGAATCGGTCACCAGACTCTTTATGACCATAACATTGTTTTGCGTACATCTGTCTCCTTCCTTTCTTTTTAAGGCCGATCTTGGGGCTTATGTGGGCTTGTGTTATAGGAATCCAACCATACTTCTTTCTTTTACCGTTAGTTTCACAGCAATAGCATCTCCTTTCAAGGCCGTTTGTATTTTGTTGAGAATTTTTTTTTGAATCACTTGAGTTCTAAGTATTTGTACAGGCTTTCCATATCTTTTAATCTTGTGGTATTCTAATGCCTCTAGGTTTAGGATCTCTCTCTCTCTCCTTTTTTTTTTTTTTTTTTTTTTCCTGGGATCTCTCTTTTATACTTCTTGTGTGACGAGGGTTTGACTTTTAATTCTCTTGTTTGGTATAACTCTTTTACTTCTCATAGTGAGTAAAATGATATTTTTGCCATCATCATGACTCTGAATGGATATTGTCTGCTTTTACGTTTTCCTTTTCTGGGCACATGCAAGTTAAGTTGAAAAGTTTTAAAGGGATTGCTCATTTACAATGTAATAGCCTTACAGTGTGGTTAATTGTTCTTACTACTGTCGTTCCTGTTGAGCAGCATTGAAGAGGTTATTGCCAAATTTGCTCAACTCACTCCTCAGGAAAGGGCAAAAAGGTACAAATTGAATTCTTACATCATGCATCCTTGATTGATATACATAAAACATAATTGTCACTGAATTACTTTCATTTTATTGGAACAGGAAGTTGGAAAGTCTCGAAGTAAGTTTGCCTTTACAACCTATTCTCTGTCAGAAAATTCTTTCTTTTTTCCTTATGGATGTAAGCTGTGTACTATTATAGTTTCTATCTGTATTGTGATTGTGTTTCTTTCTCATTATTCTCTTTGAGAGTTTAGGCACTGAAAAAAACTTTTAAGAAGTTGGATCATGATGTGAATATACAAGAATTTTTGGGTACAAGGTATGTTGCTTATACAAATTACCCTTTTTAGATTCAATGTATCTGTTCAAAATCTGGATACTAATACTTCTTATTTTTTCTGTTTGGTTTCAGTTCTCAAACTGAGGTAAGCTTACGCACGTCCAACAATTTTTGTTATCGCGAAAGACTCTTGGACAATAAATGCTGATTATCACATGTTTTGTGGGCAGGAGTTGTCCAGCCAAGCTAGTTTTTTTCAGTCTCAACTTTCTGAGATACATAAGAGACTCAGGTTAACATCTGAAAATCTTTTCATTTTAGATTTCCCTCTCATTCCTCATGGATGACGCTAAGTCTTGCTTGATTAATGCTTGTTGTATACTAATTTTGTATTTGTTTTGAGTTATGCAGCTACTGGACTAACCCTGATAAGATTGATAGTGTAGAACATCTTGGGCAAATGGAAAATTCACTAAGAGAATCACTTAACCGAATTCAAACCCACAAGGTATGCTGCTCTGATAAAGCTATCGTTCGGAAGTTATTGTGTACCCACGACTAGGTTATATTCTTTAGATGCTTAGGTCGGCTGTTAAACTTTGTCATCCAGTTTTTGTCCAAATTTTCTAGTTTGGGAATGTTTTATGTATGCCTCTGGAATGATTTGTTTAGAATCTATTCTATACCAAAGAGTGGTACAAAGATATTGGTAGCTTGAATAGGAAATTCTACTTTCAAAAAGTTTAGGAACCTGATAGTCATTGATGAGGGGAAGAGCTGACTCCAACCACTGGAGAAGGATAACAAATTATGGGCACTTGCTGTTTGATCAGAAGGTGATAGGACCAAATAAAGTTAATGAAAGCCGTTTTCGGGAAGTGAATAGTATGCTTTAGACTTCATAGTTTGGAAGGAAAATACAGCCGGTGTTTGCGACAAATAAACAATAATACACACACGCACACTAGCCTTAAGACCAGAAGTAGGAGAGCAAAGTTACATACATTTTCCTCTTCTTTCCCTACTCTAAATCTCAGTACTTCTTTTCTATTTTATTACCTTAAATACCAAATACATTCTACTTTACTTTGGCAGGAGATTTTGCAAAAACAGCTAATATCATTAGAACACTCCAGTCAGGTGAAAACTAGCGCGCGTTTTGAGAATATTTTCCGCAATAGGGTTCTTTGATGCGTTAAAACTTCTAATCTTAACTAGTATCGTCTTGCAGTTCCAAAATGGGATACATTTACCCTTCAGGGTGGGTGCTGAGCAACAGCTACAGCCTCTCTCATGGATACCGAATAATGATGGTCAACATATTGTTTTGCCGGATGACCCAAGCTTGATTCCCCACAGGTGAGAGGTTCAGTCGAATGACAATGCTTCCGAATGTGATATTATAATAATAATATTTAAATTGCTTAGTCCAGTCCTGTGTATAGCATAATAACATATATAGATAATGTTGAGTTCGTGGAGCTAAAACTTGTTAGGTATATTGGGGATTTCACATTTGTATTTCTGGTTGCCGTAATTTTACAAGGTCTGAGAGGCGTGAGGTGTGTGATTGTCTTGTAATCTTCATTATGGTGAAATTTTGCGGTGGCTGAAACTGGATGTAATTCTAATATTTGAGAGTGAACTGGTATAAATTATTTGTGTTTCTGTTTGCCTGTTTTATATTATTGCTCTCATTAGTAAAGGATTCGTGCTTTAATCCAACAATTCATTAGCGTCTTCTTCATTTGCGGCATTTTTCAACTTGGTGGATTATTTATTTATTTATTTATTTTATAGGGATATTGAATGCTCTACAAGTTCCTCATTTGGGAGTTATTCTGGTTACTTTGGCATGGGCAGAAACTTGGATATTTCTAATTCCGGACAAGAAACCGGCATAGTCAACGAGTTAAGCCAAACCGCGCCAATGAGGCTACCACTGGGTGGCGGCCAATTCCCTTACGTGCCTTACAATCTGAATGTGCTAAATGATACAAAATTTCGGCCTCAAGCAGAGATGAATCCGCAGGAAAACGCTGTGGATTATCATGTCAATGGAAACTTTGAAGTTCCTAGACATGCATACGAGACAACCCATCAAAGTACTTGGGCTTCAACATCTGGGCCCTATGATGCTGTTTCTATATTAGATGAGACTTTGTACCCTCAGGTGAGCTTTTATTTTTATTTTTTATTTTTTGGTTTTACCCTTTGATCGTTAAAACTTTTCCTACTTGTTATGAACACCTTCATTGCTTTTTGCAGCAACCGAACTAGACCCATGAATGAAACTTTTTCGCTCGTTCACTGCTAAAAGTTGCTGCAGAAATTGGATCTTGCTTGGAGCATAATGATTTTGGTTTTTTTACAGCTTTCTCATCCTTGCTATGATAAATTAGAAGGCATACAGTGAGTGATGTATACTACGGGATAGGGAAAAAAAAAAACAGAAAAATCTTTTGCCAATACTATATCAAAAATTACCTTGAGGGGGTGTCAAGATCGAGAATGTTGCATGACCTTGAACCCCTCTCAGTTTCTTAAGCTGTAAATAAAAACATATACATACATAGTAATCAAAATCACAGATATATGATGAGATTTTTGCCTACTACTTCCAAGTGTATCCATTCTATACAACACACGGCAGACAAAGCTATTATCATTTTGTCTTGTTGATTGAAAATATACATTTCTTTTTTAATGAGAAAATTCATACTTGTATTTTTGCTTTTTCCTCAAGAATTTGTCATTTTATTTGAAAATTTACTCCAGCAGTACGGTTTTGAATCGTCATATTTTTATCGTATCAGTTTTTGCATAATTTTTTTTTTTATATGTAATTTTGGTCAAATTTAACGTCTTAAAACACACTATTATTGATAGAAATTCTACGGTAAATAGAGCTTTTTTTATTATTAAAATAAAATTTCGACCACTCGAATATCGTTATCTGGATTTGATTTTGAAAGATGGGGAGTCTGTTGAATACAGTTTGGATGATAAGAGACGTGTGAACCGCCAGAGAAGGATACAAGTGTACGACCAAAATAGAGGGCGAGATATGCGATATTTCCAACATGAAAAGCCAAGTGAAAATCTTAGGCTAAATTATATTCTTTGATGTCACGGAATATGAATCTTAAGGGAAATCTACATGGAAAGAGACATGAAAAGACAAAATGACATGGAAAGAGACCTGAAAAGCCAAAATGACATGCAAGATAGACAATAGACAATGAAGTGAAATGTCTTTTTAAGGGTTTAGGAGTTGTTCAGTTGGTTTCCAACTCACCATGCATTGTTAACGATGCATATATAACGCACAATTCCTCTCAAATAATTAAATAAATTAGTTTTTTCTACGGTTTCTTTTTAGAAGTCCCTCTGTTATAATATATAAATATGAAAAATGTAATACGAGTCTGTTTGGATTGGTTTAAACAAACTGTTATTGGCTTATTTAGTTCAAAAGTCACTTTTAAACCTGTTTGGATTGTCAACCTTAAAGTCTTTTGATTTTTTAAGCACTTTTAAAACAAACTATCCACTTAGTGCTTATGAAAAGCTTTTTTATTAACATTTTTAACAATTTATTTGTGAACAACAAATTAAATATCTTATCTATATCATTTTATTACATTACTTTTTATAACAAGAAGTACTTTTGACTTTTTTACCCAAACAAATTCAAAAGCTCTTCTTAGATATAAAAGTGTTTTTTCTGTCACTATCCAAACACTAATTAAAAAACCCCATCTTATGTTTATTTTTTTCTACTACTTAAAAATACAAACACAAACTATTCTAAACAAATCATAACAGGCGTTGTTTAGTTGGTTTCCAACTCACCATGCATTGTTAGCGATGCATATATAACGCACAATTCCTCTCAAATAATTAAATAAATAAGCTTTTTCTACGGTTTCTCTTTCAGAGGTCCCTCCGCCATAACATATAGATATGAAAAATGTAATACGAGTCTGTTTGGATTGGTTTAAACAAACTGCTATTGGCTTATTTAGTTCAAAAGCCACTTTTGAATCTGTTTGGATGGTCAACCTTAAAGTGCTTTTGACTTTTTTAAACACTTTTAAAATAAACCATCCACTTAGTGCTTATGAAAAGCTTTTTTATTAACATTTTTAACATTTTATTTGTGAATAACAAATTAAATATCTTATTTATATCATTTTATTACATTACTTTTTATAACAATAAGTATTTTTGACTTTTTACCCAAACAAGTTCAAAAGCTCTTCTTAAATATAAAAATACTTTTTCAACACTATCCAAACACTAATTAAAAAGCTCCCAACTTATGTTTATCTTCTTTTACTACTTAAAAAAACATAAATTATTCCAAACAAGTCATAACAGGCCATACAACAATTAATGAATGTAACATTAACATTAAAAAAGTATAATATAACTTTTTAGATTTATCATGTTATCTTTTGTATAATATCATTTGTTACATCAGAGGGGCACCTCTCCCACCGAAAAGACTAAAGAAGAGCCCTAAATAAATAAATGCTGTCCACAGTTTTATGACTTTCTTTATTCAAATTTGTTTTGCAACGTGGCAGTTAGAAATAAGGATTTGTAAAAAAAAAAAAAAAAAAAAAAAAAAAAAAAAAAAAAATATTTTTTAAAAAAAATGTTAAAAAAAAGGATTTTTAAAAAAAAAAAAAAAAAAAAAAAAAAAAGAAAAGAAATATTTTCTTAAAAAAATTGAAATACATATATAAATATGTATATATATATTTGCGTAAGAAATAATCTTGTTGAAAATTGTATGCCACATAGTAGACATAATCGCTAACTTGAAAACTAACACGGTTCATGTGTTTTTACAACAAAAAGTGAGAAAATAAAATATTTGTGTGCTTATCTTGGACTGTGACCTTAGATTCTGTTCGCTATAAGCTTATGAGTGTAGTTTAGCGGTGCCGGTGAGTGGTGTGACACCAAATTCATACGAGTCATTAGAATTTAAAAGAAAGATATCTACTTCTTAACTATTGATATTTATCATTAATGGATTGTCTCATAATTAGTTTTGAGCAAAGCACTTACGTAGCCATCTTTGCTTGCACATTATTTATTGAAGTGATTTATCATTTAAAATAAAAACATTAGATGAGAGAGTTATAAATACAAATAAATATACCAACATTTTCAAAAGAAAAATGCTATAGCTATTAGGTTTATACCAATTATTTATCCATCTTTTAATATTTATTGAAGTGATTTTATCATTTTAAGTAAACACATTAGGTGAGAGTTTTTTTTTAATAAATAAATATGATTTTTTATAAATAAATGTAACAACATTTACCAACTAGAAATGATAATAATTTATAATGTTAGTAGGCATTGAAAAACTAACAAATATAGGAGCTTCCCTTCATTATTCTTTTTGCTATTATGAAGAGCTTTTCAATTTTATAAATTAAGAGACTAATCTTGTATTTCTTTTAGAGAATTATATGCTAGCATATGAAAAAAAAAATACCATTGGCACTACCCTATTTTTAACTGATTATATTAGAATCATAACAAAAAAGGAGGAATTTAATTAAATATACCCCAACATTTAAAAGTTTACGTGAAATAAATAGTTTGTAAATTGGTTTCACTTTCACCGCTTCAAATTTCCACATTACACATTCTTAACAGGTTGTCGGGGCTTTTTGCAGCGTTTTCTTTTTTTATAATTTGAGGCCATTTTTTACATGTATGTTCAGAAAAATGTAAGAATCGTATTTGTAAAATTTCAGAATTTTTGGACGTCATTTTTATTTTATTCTATTTTTCAAAGATGAAAAATAAAGAAAATCATAAAAAATAGAATATTCATAAAAAAATAGTGTCGCTTATTGCATTAATTCGTAAAAATCGTGTATAAATTTTAGAATACATAACATAAATAAAAATGTAAATTTTTGACCCATCTTAGCACCTGGGCGCCGCACTGTGTAGGTTAGATTTTTTGACAGCGTTTTATTAAACTAATGTTATTTAGTACCGATAGTGTTAAACATCACCATTAATAAAAGATGGAACAACCTAAAGTTATAATAATGGTGTTTAACAAATCAATGGTGTCCTTGAGCGTTTTTCAATTATTCAATCCAAAGAAGCTAAACTTACCTAAATCCTTGAATCGCAGAATAACTAGCTTGAGGAATTGATACACTTGTCAATTGTTATTTTAATGCGGAAAATTCCAATCAACAAAGGGATGCTAATTTTATCACAATCTTTCGCTCTCAGCAAATAGTGATAATTTGCACGTACATTTACTTTCATATCATTATTTTACAAGCAAAATCATATCATAACTCTATTATAAAGCTGAAAAAAATGTATCCAATGTTAGCTGTGACGTGGAAAAACTCTAATAAGATGTGAACAAGACCTTTCTTGTTCCATGTGCAATCCGAAACTTTTGACTCCTCATTATGTGATGTAAACAGCATATTTTTGCCATTGGTTTAAACATTGATTCAGACCTCAAAGGAGGAGTTTTTTTTTTTAAAAAAAAATTTTAACTGGAGTTGCGAAAAAATTGTAAGAATTACAGGATATGACTGTTTTTTAAGTGGAATTAAAATTTGACTTCCTTTTACAAATATCAGTCGTATGGTTTATTTTTTAAATTAGATTTTTTGACACCTCTAAAATACTCCTTCAAGATTTTGTTGTGTTTTTATTGATTCTCATTAACGACATAATTATGTTGCTGGTATTTTAATGATATAGTTAAATGTTATTAAGTTAATAATTATATTGCCAGTATTTTAATCTAATTTAAATGATGAGTACAAAATAATGATAAGGTAATGTCATTCTTTTATTGATTTAAAATGTTTTAAGACGGTTAATAGTCCCACAAATTGTGGGATACAATATCTACACCATATCGTATATACCATTATCATTAAATAATAAAAATATTAAATACTGGTCTATCTAATAAAATTTTAAAACCTCAATGCCATTATTAAGATTAACGATGTCATTATAATATTCACAAACTCAAGTCATATTTTAATTCAACAATCTTATTTACCCATATGTCTCATTTTCCCATGTAAATTCAGGTGGTCTAGTTCGGCCCATACAGATAGAGGACTGCATTTGCTTTACCAGTCCGACCCAGCCCGGCCCGCCCGTAAAAGGAAATTAAATTCTAAACAAACATGAACTAAAACGTTTCTGTTTGCGCCATAAATGGAGGTATAGAATCTGATCTCAATAGTCATGTTTTATGACCGAGCACAACATTTTAAGGGGAAAAGCTAGGAGAATTTGGTTTCATATCATCGTGGAAAATGTTGTTAAACCAATTGTTTAGTATTGTTTTAATTTTTTTTTTTTTTTTTTTTTATACCCAAGAAGTTACCAACTAGACTTGTTTAAATGTTATTGGAGCTCAAGTTCAACCATATGGAGTCAAACCACAGGTTACTATTCAACTTTCACGTAACGTTTAACAACCTTAAAGAGTTAATTTGTGATGCAAAAATATAATACGCAGACTTTGACATGAAAGTTCATAAAAACACTTTGGGGAGTCATTTTGGTTATGATAAGGATGCCAAATGAACACCCTTCACATTTCAAATTTCAAAACACAAGTCCTTTTGCAACATATTCATCGTGCCATTATAGTGCTAAATTTTCTCTTTAAATACTGCCATAATCTTAAATAAACGGTTGTTCTTTCATTAACTAAGTACGGTAAGCCAAAGACAAGAAACACCCAAATAGTAAAATCAGCACTCTATTAATAATATCACTTGAAATTGGAAATATACACTTTAAAGTCTCCTTCGATAGAGTTCAACCGTAACAATAAAGGGCGAATTCAGCACATAAAGCTGATTACAACAACCTTAAAAGCAATGCCCAAAAATGCTTTTTTTCAACACTTTTTTCAACAATCCCAAAAAGTAGTAAACAAAGTAGCCTGCTATTCAAACAGTGACTGGCGGGTGGTGAGAGCCCACCTCTGCCACTACTGCTCTTCCCATTAATAACAATAACAAAAAAGACCCAAGAATGAGTAGGGTATGGTCCCATAGAAATAGGGTTACCCTACACCAATACACATATGAAGCCAAAATGATGAAAGGCCATATTTAAAATAAGCCCTTCTAAATTTTTGGCCCAAAAATGCCCAAAAGGCCCAAACTCCATAGCCCAAAAAAAAAGACATAGTATACTATCTAATACCCTAGTATACTACTACTACTACTACCAAGTCATACTATTATATCATAAGGTACTCCTATATGGCTAAAACATATATAGGAAAAAAGACACCACCACGGTCCATAGTGTTTCCAAGCATTTTTTACTCATTGGTCTAGAATTGGCGGCCGGTGAAGGTCTGTCCGAAGGACCAGCGGGCTGGGGCAACATTGTAGGACATAATGGTGCGGCCATCACTGGTGGTGACCTTGAAAGAGAGGCTCTGGCCATTGAGATAGGAGTTGCTTTGCCAGTTCTGGCCCCAGTTTCTGGACATGGCTTGCCAGCCGGTTCTGGACCCTTTGATCGAAGCGGCATGGACATCGCCGGCACCGCCAACGTTTGTGATTAGGACAAGGTTGAAGTAGGAGTGGCCGTTGATGGTGAATCGGACGCCTCCCCTTCTTCTGCAGGGTACCCTACAAACACACAAAAATAATTGGATTTTAGCACCAATGTGCGTGCTACACATGGTAGAAGACTTTAGACAAAATTATACCAAGAGAAAAAGGGCCAAAGAAAAGTTTTTGCATGCTTAAAAAAATAAAATAAAAATCTAATAAACGGTCGGTCAATACTCTCAACATAAGAATTTACTTGAGTGAAAGGAAAAACCTTTTTTGCCCCCTTTTATAGAAAATAAACACTTTCACTAGGTTTTTTTTTTTTTTTTTTAATTTGAAACTTTCAACTAGGAAATTACAAACTGCTTCAACCTTTTAAAGGGCAAAATTACTCTAATGAGCATATTACATGACTTTTGAACATTAGTAAGTTAGAGAGACTCATTACAAAAACAATAAATAAATAAAAGAAAAAAAAAACAGGGGGTTTATTTATCAGAAAAAGTGTATATCTTCTCTTTTCCTTTCTTTAAAAAAAAAAAAATATTTGCAAAGAAGGAATCTAAAAGAGTTAGCTCCTTAAGACCACTAAACTCCAGAGATCTCAGTTGAAAAACAACGTATTTGAACCAAATTTCACAAAAACATGAACATATTCAGCTAAAGCCAACAACTTTAACCCAAAGATTCCTTTTTTTTTTTTTTGCATTTTTACCTTCTGTAAGCAACAGGGACAATTCCAGCTCTGTACTGGGCAATGTGCTGGAAAACAGGCTGAGAGAGGTCAAAGTGGTGCTGAGGAGGGTTGCACCAACCGCCGGCATTGTTGGGCAAGGCATTGTTTGGTGGGCAGAAATTGGTGGCCGTCACCAGAATGGAGCCAGGCAAGCACCATTTTGGGTCACTCGCGCACTTGATCTCATAGCATGACCCACAGCTCAGCCCATTGTTGAACAGAGCCGTGCTTAGAGCCGCCGTGTTTGTGCCATACCCTTGGCTGTACAAGTTCCCATATCCACAAGCCCCGCCTAAAAAAAAACAGAGAGAGAGAGAAAAAAGAATCAGTCATTTGAAATATGGTAAAAAAAGATAGATTTTGAAAACCTTTTTTTAAGGCTTTTTTTACGGTTTTACCCATTGTGCCGGAGGCATCACTGCCTCCGTAGAAAGTGGCGTGAGCATTGTTCCAACCCCCACCGTAGCCATAGGCAGAGGACGCCATTGTCAAAAGGCCCAGCAAGAAAAGCCCAGCAAGACCCATTTTGACCTTTTTTGGTTCCTGCATGAAGAAGTAAGAGAGTATTTTTAGCATTACTTAGCTCAAGTTTGAAACTTTTTTTTTTTTGTTTGGTGAAAAGGCAAAAAAAAAATGAAAAGAAAGGAAAATGCAAGAGAGGAAAATGTGAGGGAAAAGGTGGATTATTACTTGAACAAGAGTGGTGAGTTTAAGAGGAAAAAGGAGAATGCGAGGCAGATGAGTGAAGAAAAATGGGGAGGGGTTGAGGAGGAATATATAGAGCTTTTAGGAGGGAGGGAGGGAGGGAAAAATGGAATTTAGGAATGTTTAACCCCACCGTTATAACTTACAACTAACAGTTTCACCTTTTTTTTCTTTTTTTTCCCTTTTTTTTTTTAAAAAATTGTTTTGTTGGGACCACTAACGGCTTGGCCTCTTGGGGGGCGGTTTAAGAGTGGGCTTCTTGAAGCGGTTTTATATCTGCTAACGTAGTTACAATGAGTGAGTGTGTTTAGAATTTATTTTATTTTTTATATGAAAATGAAAATATAAAGATTTTTAATTTTAGACAGAAATTATTTTTAAAAATATGTTTGATAATTTTATCAAGAGATTATTTTGAGTATAAAAAAATTTATTAATGTCTCTCTCTGCTCGAGAGAGGAGAAAACGAAAATAAAAAATAAAAAACGATTAAAAGTCGTTTTTCACATCTCTTTTATTTTACGTTAAATTAAAAAATTATTTTTATTTTTATTTTTTATCTTTAATTGTGTCAGACACCGTTTTAAAATCGTTTTATTTTTTCTTTCTTGTAAAATGTGAAAAACAAAAACAATAATTAATCTAAACACAGCAAATAAGTAGTTTTGGGTGCTTGCAAGGGGTTTTTGGAGAGGAAAGCGTGTAGTTTTTGTTGCTATCTTGAATGGGAAATCCTCCCAAATCCAAGTGGGTCATGGTTTCTTTTAGGCTTCTTCTTCATGCTTAACTAAACACCCACATGCAAATCAACGACAATTTGCCGCAAGATAGATACTCCTCCTCTCTCTTTTTTTCTCTCTTTTTTCTTTTTTTCTTTATTTTGTTCCTTCTGCTTCTTCTCTCTAGTCTAGTCCCCACTTTAGCCTTTTCTTACACTACTAATTTATTACCTTTATCAATGTACAGGAATTTTTATGATAAGACTCCTCTGATTTGAGATTGTTCACGTTAATTCACAACACATAATTATTTTAATTACAAATTAAACCGTTAAAATTCCTCATTTTATGATTAAAACAATAATTCTTACCTATAACCATAGTTGAAAAAGTCAGATTCTTCAATAAAAATTCCTCTAGGTTTTACTTGGTTTAACCGAAACTTGATTAAAGCAAAGCTAATGCAAATTTTCCCCCTTTATTCTTCCAAAGACATAATTATGTCTCGGTTACTTTTGTGTTTTTTTTTTTTTGGCTCTATGACACACATTCATAGGTGCATTTAACAGCAAGCAATTCTACTCTTCAATTCTCAGCCGTTTATTACGACTTGGGGAGTTTAATGCCCCAAATCTTTTCTGGTAAAACACTTTAATGTGGTATTTTTTGACTGAAGCATTAATAAAAGAATTTCGTTTTCTGATGACTGAATATAGCAGGCTTTCTGTACCAAAACGCGGCACTGCGTAGCTAGCTCTTTCTTTTGCTTTTTCTGTCTTCCAATTGTTTTTCGTCCATCTAATATCTGATATCTGATATGATATCTCAATCGTTCATCTGGGCCCCACTCGTAGCTCTCATGGACGGCCCATATGAAACTTGACACGTTAAAGTACTACAGATGATTCTGTCACCCTTTGAAGTTTGAAGCTGGAGAGAAAGTTAAGGCCCCAAGCACATGGGTGATGACATTCTTAGCTGCCTCCTTTCAATTGAAAAATACCTCAGATCTCATTAAAAGTCCTCTCTCTCTCCCCCTTTTTTTTTCTCATTCCTCTTTTATGTAAGTTGGAAGAAAATGCTTAAGAGAATAACTAGTAGTTTTTAATTATCACCTAATAGCGTTGGATTAATATAATAACATAGCTTCTTAAGTAGGTATTGACGATTGATATTGCTGAAGTCATATAATTATATTTGGAAAAATTCAGAAAAACACGCTGACATGCATTAAAAATTATGAGAAAATGAGAATTTTGTGCTCTGGTACCAAAAAAAAAAAGAACTTTATCAATGGTGTACAATTTTGAGCCATCAAATTATATAATATTATACAATATAAATTTAATGTTTTTTTATGAATGCAAATTAAAAAAAAAAAAAAAACTTGAGGCATAATGTTCTTTAGACACATCGAATCACAACTCAAACGTTATTATCACAATGTTAGCTCTCACAAAAATTTAAATTTAATTTTTTTACTATAGTATTTTTCACATATATAATTTACTTTTAAATTCAAATTCTTAACTCAAAATTGTGAAAAAAAAAATTACCCTTCATCAATATCACACAACTCAGCTACACATTACTAGTATACTTGCTTGAAGTATGGCTTCTGTTGTAGCAAAAGAAAATAATAGTTTGGGTTGGGGTTTTTTTTTTTTAATGATGTTTCAGCTTTTGGCATGTTTACTTACGTATAATTAGAATGAACATGAATCAGAGTAGACAGGTTATGAAGTGGGTAGGATTTAGAGTAAGAATAAATTGCTTACTTGGTGACAGGATTTAGAATCAGAGTCACTTCAAATCACATTCATGCGTTTACTTACATCCATAACCAGAATGAAATAGTGTAGAAGTACTAATATATCCTTTAAGTCAATTTATATTTTTAATTTAAAAAATAAATTATTGTACTTATTATATAACAAATTAATCATAATTAAAATATTTAGTGTAATAATAGGGTACTAAAATAATATATATAAACGGAACAATTATTTAAAATATAAAAATAAATTGTTAAAAAATTTAAATAAAATTAAAAAATTAAAAATAGTATTAAAAAATTAAAATAACTTTTTAATTTATTAAAAAAATAAAGTACATATTTATTTTATTAAAGTTAATAATAATTAGGCTGATATTAAAATATTAGGTAAATAAAATAATAAATATATGTTGTAATTATTATTTTTGAATTTTATTTTTATTTTTATATTTATAAGTAAAATATGGGTATGATAGTAATTTAATATTAATATCATGAATGTAAGTCACAATCTCAAGAGGGGTACGAGAGTGTCAATCCTAAATTTGAGTGGGACTCACCAATCTCACTCATATTCTAAGATAAAAAAGAGCAAGTAAACATGAGATTGACTCATATTCTCCATTATCATTCCTCAACCTGATAAATAAACGTGCCATAAAATCTTTTGGTAGAGACGTGTATCCAGGGCAATTAGTGGTGGCTTTTTTTAATTAATTGCATAAATTATAAGAAAAATATTTGTGATTATTTGTTTATTATCAGAAGATAAGGGCCTGCCTGCATGGAAAACGATAACATGGATTATGAATTGACTAATAGATATTAAGACCATGATTCGCGGTATTAGTGTTTCAATCATCTTTTGAAAATAGCCAAATACTACGTCCAAGAGAATGCAACTACGTAACTACTTTGTAGCTATTCATTGACTTTAACAGAATATACGTTTTCATGTAATTAATTTTTTCATTCTTTATCGAACGGCTTCGTTTTATCCATTGTCTTCTTATTATTTTTTTCACCCTTGCCGAACTTTGAAAATTTGTATATTTGAATAATATATAGGGCATTTTATTAATTAATACTGTTTAAGCTAGGACTTCGGAGGTCTCCTAAGTGGTTGGATTCAAAAGATGTTTGGCTTGCTTTTATGTAAGGTACTTTATTTATTTATTTTAAATGAAACCCTTAGACCTACTTTAGAGCTTAAAATTAGCTCACAAATAGGGTTGAAACTAGCCAAGGGGAGAAAAAAAAGGGACTTTCGGACACAAGTATTTAAGGCGAAGTTTGTATTGTTATGGTATCAAAATGCAAAAAGCATGTAAAACTAAAAGAGAGTACTCCTATTCGTGGGATGATTTTTCATACCTTACCATAAAATTCTCGAGAACTAAATACAGCAGGGTATATTTTCAAGGTTTATGACATTTGCCTGTATACAAGAAAGGGACGCATAAGAGAGATTTAGCGGCGCCAAAGAAGCAACCGCACATGCAGTTGCTTTGTTTGTATCTTATTCTTCAAAACCCATTTGGCTTCTTCATAAGAGTTTCCTTTTTGAATTTTTGATTTACTTTGCAATATTGTTATGCAGATATTCTTTGCAGACGCCATCAACAAAAAGCTAAAACCAGAAAAGAAAGGAACATATCAAGCGGCCAAATAAATTCAAAGTTCGTGTAATGTTGATACCCAAAAAAGATGAGAGGAAATTACTGTGCCATCTCTTGGTGTTGGTGCCCTTTATGGGTTTGTTTCTCTGAGTCGTCAGTTTAACTTTTAAGAGACGTCCCCATTGGAGGATATTATATGTGGACGGCATTCTTCTGCTCAGACCACCAGTCAAATTATCATTCCATCCCTAGTCTGATATATAGCTCTAGGGCTGAGTTAAATTTTACTGTAGGGGTATTATGGGCAGTACATGTTTATAATCGTAATATCTAATAACTGTCGCATCAAAATAAAAAGTTATAAAAAAAACTTAAGAACACTATCAGTACTGAGGTCTCGTTCGCGAAGAATTATTATGAGAATTTTTAATTGTAAAAATTTAAATCAGTGTAATAAATTATGATTAAGTAACATGATGAAGACTCTGCCCATAAATCTCATACTATAAGATTTATTTTTTATCAATAAGTGGTATTTAGCACTATCAGTGCCCATATAACATTGCTCAAAGTTATATGCACAATTAATAAATCTAATACAAATTTGTCAAGTTTAAAATAGAGTACCAAAATTCTCTAAATTATTGACATTGTAGAAATTTTAAAAATTTTATAAGAAAATTAGTTTATTTTGTATGAGAAAATTTTCCCTCACTCGTGCAAAGTTGTATACTAATACATTTTAATCTATTTCTGTCGTTTATGTATTATTTTTGCTAATACAATCTTAATATGATGTAAAATTCAGAAATGACGTAATAAATTCCTAATATCTTTAGGTTTTGTATAGTTCTTTTTATTCCCCTAAAACCAGTTAAATAGCTAGTCTTTTATTTTGTCCTCTGCCATCCATTTTATCACAAATGAAAAATTAGTGGACGTTTGGTTCATGAAT